AGGCCAATGACCCGCTATATATGTTCTATAGGAAATGTGGTTGTAAGAGTCCAGAGCTTGAAATAAATTGATTGATCAACTACTAGTGTCTATCTGAATAATCATCATTGATATACCAGACAATAGGCTTTGGGAACTAATCAAAACTAGAATGATGTTTCTAGTTCACAAGATACGATGAGACAATCTTGTGTTGATTCTATAAGAGAGATTCCAACGAACGAAAATTGAGAATATTTTCATATTCGCTTGTAAGTTAAAGAAAACCCAACCCCATAACCAGCAAACCACCACCTATCCAACACCGACCCTTGTTGTCGTCGACGACGGCAATACCGCGTCGTATGGCAAACCTAGTACCACCAGCCTCACGCCGCATATACAGCCACACATTCAGGCGGCGGCCCTAGGTGGAAACCCTAGCTTCGCTGCTCAAACTGGTGACGCGACCGGAGATGTGACCACCTGGGATGGAGTAACGATGCTGGACGATGGCAGTACCGGTGGACGGATTGGAAACATTGACCGGATGGTGGACCGATCTGGGCACCAAACCTAGATTTTGCAAAATTCGGCCACCAGTCTGGCAGACGTTCCTGATCGAAAAGTCAGGAAATTCATGAGACCATTTCTCGATCAGCCATGGTGCCTAGCATACCATTGGAAGTGCCGTTCACACAAAATCAGGGGAGTAAGTTCAGGGATGTACACGGTATGGTATTCAATCGTCGATTTCGAGTGGAGGCGAAGGAGTTTCAAATGTCTGTTAACAATCTTGTTACTGTTAGGATGACAGAGTGGGGTTGGAAAATATCGAATGCAATATGTATGGGAAGTTTTGGCGTACTTTGGATGGTGAATATGGTGGATAAGTTGAGGGTGACTAGTAGGTTGGAGGATTTTGTCTCTAAGTTCAATGATTCTTCAAGAGCTTTTTTGGCACAACGATGCGTGAACAGTCGTGGTAGATACCTGACGATAGCACAGTATGGGGATAGGCATCGAAAGGGAGTGGTGATGGTGCCGGAAGGTGCAAATGGAGAAAGGATGGGCATCGATCTCGCGAGTGTAACAGGCTGTAGTTGACTCATTTGTAGCTGGAGACAAGGCTAAATGTCAAACGGTGAGCGTTGGACGCCAACAAGAGTTGACCTATGCTGAAGTTACGACAAACACACATGCCACGCAGAATGTTGATCGAAGGGTGCTAATCCGAAATGAAAAGGCAGTTACTGTGAGTGCAAATGAAGGTAATTGTATGATGCATAAACATAAGGAAGCACATGTAGAAGGTTCATATGACGGTATATTGAATAGTGCTGAAATAAGGGCAGCTCGTGTCCAGACGTTGAAAGAGGAGTTGGATGAACTTTTTAGGCTTGCGGGATGTGGGTCTGTAGCGGAGTCCAGGATGCTTTTTTGCCATAAGTTTGGGGTGGGCGTGGATGAAGAAAGCTTGGTTCCTAAGGAGCTATCACCGAACCTTACTAAAGATAAGGGGGATAATGACTTAGGGATTCAAGCAGATCGGGAGATGGGACTTTGGGACCTTGGTCTAACGCAGGGGAGCCGAATATGGTGAATTTGGAGTCAAAGACACTGGGTATGATGGACACGATGCCTCCGACTGATGGATTATCAGTTGAGCAAGAGACGGGACATACATTGGCCAAGGGATCCACTTCGACTACACTGTAAGAGCACGAGGCTTCGTTCGAGAACCATGGTTCGGAACACATATAATAGAAGGGACTTGAAGCTCCTAAAAGAAAAGGAATTAGGGACTGACAAAGCTTTGTGTTGTGGGTAGATGACACCAAGAAAGGAGGAACAGACAGTGATATCGGATCGGTGGAGGAAGTAAAGGGATTCCCATTTGATCTTTTGGAGTATCGTCATGTAGAGGAAACAACGAAATTGAATGCGATTGAAAGTGGTCCCACAACTTCAAATTGGGTTCAAAAAATTCAAGATTTTGGTAAGTTGGTTGGTGTGTCATGCGATAAATATGAAAGTAGACTTTTACAATTATTCGAGGAACTGAAGGCCAATACGGGACAGGGGATGAGTATACCAGGCGGTAAATCAAGAAGAAAAGGTGACCGCGAATTTAAGCGGCTCGAATGGTCAGTAAATTACGACGCTAATGGTGTCAAGTCAAAGAAAGGATTGCTTGGGAAGGATGACAAAGCGTTAAAATGATATAAAAAATAATTAGTTGGAACGTAAGGGGGCTTAATGTCGTGAAGAAAAAGTAAGTTTGATCGAAATTTGCTAAGGGGATGGAGGGCGGACCTACTCTGCTTACAAGAAACTAAGTTGGACTTCGTCTCAAGAGCGGTTGTGAGCAGTTTATGGGGGGACAACTTGTTGGTATCAATATATGGGATCATCAAGGGCTTCGGGAGGTGTGTTGATCATGTGGGACACTAGAGTTCTTGATATGGAGGATGTCAGTGAAGGACTTTTCCTTATCTCTTTCATTCAAAAATATTTGGGATGGATTTCGTTGGATGTTTATAGGAGTTTGTGGGCCTAACGATGATGAAAGTAGAGATGGATTGTGGGATGAGTTGGCTGGGATGATGGCTTGACGGAATATTCCAATGTGTATTGGAGGAGACTTTAATGTGGTTTGATTTCCTACTAAGAAGTTTATAGGAGTTTGTGGGCCTACCGATGATGAAAGTAGAGATGGATTGTGGGATGAGTTGGCTGGGATGATGGCTTGACGGAACATTCCAATGTGTATTGGAGGAGACTTTAATGTGGTTTGATTTCCTACTAAGAAGTCAAGTGATGGGAGATTAACAAGGGCAGTGGAGAAATTCTCAAATTTTATTGGGAAAATATGTTAGTGGACTTGCCTTTGATTGGTGGAGACTTTACTTGGTCTTCTAATTGGGATCAACCTATTATATTTCGAATAGATCGATTTCTGATTAGTGGGGAATGGGAGGAAAAGTACCCAGAGGTTACCAGAGAAGATTAGGGAGGGTGAATTCTGATCACTTTCCTATTCTATTGGCTGGAAATACGAGGTGTAGTGAACGAAGATCTTTTAGGTTTGAGAAGATGTGGCTAAAAGTACAAGGCTTTAAGGAGCGAGTACAGGATTGGTGGGCATCTTACAACTTCAGGGGATCTCCCGGTTATGTGTTGGATAAAAAATTGAAAGGTCTGAGGAGGTATATAAAGAGGTAGAATGAGGAGGTGGTGGGAGATGTTAATTGGCGTAAAAACCAATGCATCTTAAATATAGAAGAGTTGGATGGGAGGGAGGAGAGTTGAGGATTGGTAGGGGATGAGAGGGAGAGACGTGGAGAATTAAGGGAAGAGTTGTAGAGGTTGATGGAGATGGAGGAAATAGCTTGACGTCAGAAATTTAGGGTCAAGTAGTTGAAGGAGAGTGAAAAATGTACCCAATTTTTCCATAGAGTCGCTAATTCTATCAAGTGTTAACAATTCTATCACCATGCTGGAGGTAGATAGAGTTACTTATGAAGACCCACAAGATATTGAGACCCAAATGATGAATTTCTATTAAAACCTGTATCGTGAGCAGTTTGACTGGAAGCCCGAGTTGGAGGGGTTAGACTTTTCTACTATTACTGAGGAGGATGTCAGCTGGTTAGAGAGAGAATTTGGGGAGGATGAGATTAGGGAGGTAGTGTTCAGCATGAATGACGATAAAGCACCAAGGCCGGATGGATTCTCATTCTCATTTTATAAAGCTTGTTGGAAAGTGGTACAATCGGACTTCGTGGATGTATTTACTTCTTTCTGTGTGACGGGTTCTTGAGAAGTTCTAATTGATTCCAAAAAAATCGGGAGTATTGGATATTATAGACTTTCATCCTATCAACTTGGTAAGCGGGGTGTACAAAATTATTGCAAAGGTGCTGGCTATTAGATTAAAGGAGGTGCTAGGGAAAGTGGTGTTTAAATTTTAGAATGCTTTTGTCAAAGGGAGCCAGATATTGGATTTCGTACTTATAGCAATTGAATGTATTGTCTTGAGAATGCGTATAGGGATTCCAGGGATGTTGTGTAAACTTGATATTCAGAAAGCCGATGATCACGTGAACTGAGGATTCCTTTTGTATATGCTCAGGCGATATGACTTCGGGGATAAGTGGCGCCATTGGATTCAGTTTTGTATATCTACGGTCTCCTATTCAGTTTTTGTAAACGACACTCTTGAGGGTTATTTTCGGAGTAGTAGAGATTTGAGGCAAGGGGATCTGTTGTCTCCATTGTTGTTTGTTATTATTATGGAGGCTTTCAGCAAGATGCTTGAGAAAGCCGTGGGAGAAATTATGTTGTTGCAAGTATCCCATTTGCTATTTGCAAACGACACATTGATATTCTGTGATGCAAAGGCTGAGCAATTCATGAACTTGTGTCGTCTGCTACTATGCTTTTAAGCTATATCTAGATTGAAAATTAATTTGAGAAAATTTGAGGCTATCACAGTAGGGGATGTCTATAATGTGGAGGAATTGGCGGCCATATTGGGTTGTAGGATTGCGCAATTGCCTATGTCATATCTTGGGCTCCTTTTAGGAGCACAGTTTAAAAATATACATATTTGGAATAGTATTGTGGAAAGGGTGGAGAAGAGGTTAGCGGGTTGGAAGCGTACGTACCTCTCAAAGGGAGACTGTCTTACCCTCATTAAATCCACTCTATCGAATCTCCCCACTTATTTCTTGTCATTGTTTCCTATTCCGATTTTAGTGACAAATAGATTAGAGGATTCAAAGGGAGTTTCTATGGGGAGGTTTAGAGGAGGAGAGGAAACTTAACTTGGTTAACTGGGGTGTAGTGTGTTTTTGCTATAAAAACGGGGGGTCTTGGATTAAGGAGTCTTGTATTGCTTAATAAGGCCTTGCTGGGTAAGTGGTTGTAGCGTTTCGATGTGGAGAGAGAGAGAGCTTTTGGAGAGAAATTATAGAGGCGAAATATGGTATTTTAGAAGGGGAATGGTGCTCAGCCGAGGATCGTGGTTCTTATGAGACGAGTTTGTGGAGGTATATATGATGAGGGTGGAGAGAATTTCAGAATAGTTTGACATATGTGGTGGGGAATGGCAATACTATCAGATTCTAGGAAGATTGCTAGTGTAGAGATCGGCCATTAAAAGTGGAGTATCCTTCTCTGTATCATATTACTTTGATGCCACGGGCTATGGTGAATGAAGTCTTACATGTACATAATGAGAATCCCAGCTGGAACGTTGCTTTTGGGAGGAGTCTACAGGACTGAGAATTGGAAGATTATGCGTTACTCCTGACCTCTTTGTATGAGGTGCACATCAGGGTAGGAGAGCGTGATTGTAGTAGGTGGAGGTTGGCACACGAGGGCATTTTCTCAATTAGCTCTTATTTTAGATCATTGTTGGAACCCTGGGAGAGTTCATTTCCTTGGAAGAAGGTATGGTGATGTAAACTGCCCCCTTAGGAGGTATTTTTACTATGAACGGTTGTGAGAAGACAGGTGTTAACGATGGATAACCCTCAATTGAGGAGCCTTTATGTTACGAAAGGGTGTTATGTGTAGGAGGAATGGAGAGACGATTGATCACTTATTCCTTTATTGTGACGGTGCTCGCTCCCTGTGGAACGATATTCTAGCTTCTCAACACATGGATTGGGTATTTTCGCAGCATATGGAGGATGTACTGAAGGCATGGGGGAGAAGATTTCGTAATAAATATAGCAAGATTGTTTGGGACTTTATTCTAAGATACATTGTCTGGTGTGTGTGGAGGGAGAGAAATAGTTGTTGTTTTGACGATCATACACGAACAATAGAACAGATTAAAGAATTGTTTTATTCTACAATGTATGGTCTAATGTCGTGGCTAATACTCGTGTAGATGGGTTGTCTAATTTCATGTCGTTTCTGTCTTGTGTTAATTAATAATACACTTCCTGTGTATTATTCATGATTAATAAAAAATTTGATTATCTATCCAAAAAAAAAAAAAAAACCCTTCACGTACTATTTTTAAACTGAAAGTACAAATATGAAATCATTAAAAATCTCTCATTCACCCCCCAACGTTTTGAAAGAGTTTCGAGAAAAAAGGAAAAATGTCTTTCAAGAAAAAAGAAAAATGTCTTTCAACAGGTAATATTTATTTCTTTAATATTTCTCTTTCCTCTTTCATTTATGAACCTTAGAGGTTAGAACCATGCTAAAAGATCAATATTTTTCTCTCTTCAACATGTTGTTATTGTTGTTGTTGTTGTTGTTGTTATTATTATTATTCTCTTTCTAATATTCTCATATTTTCTCTCTTATTTTTCATCATTTTCTCCTTTCTATGAGAAAAATATCACCTTTGTAAATAAAAGTTCTTATAAGATTTTTCTCTCTTTTTCATCATTTCCTCCAATTTTCTATCAATTTATAGATTAATTTGTAATTAATTGTTTTAAATTGCTTGTTATATTTAATTTTGTAACTTTTTCTACATGTTTGGACATAGTAGAATATTGAACATTAGAGATTTCTTTTTTCCATCGAAGAGTATAGAAATTTTATAATTCTTTCGTATTTTGGTTTATTTTTCGGATTGAGGTGACTTTTTATATTCCATTATAAAAATATTATTATTGACATAGGAAATGTAATTTAAAGATTGTAAGTTTTGGATCATTTGTTCATGCAAGTACTGGTTCAGACTAGGATTACATTGTAGTGCATAAATAAAAAATTCCATACAACAAGGATGTGCAATAAATTATCTAGACATGTAACTTCATATATTTCCAAGAAAGTCTGTAGTAGTTAAATGAATTCTATAAAAGTATTTTAATGGAAGTCTACTGAAGTCTATAAAGGCAATAAAAGTTTATTAAATTCTGCAGAAGTCATTACTTAAAAAACTCTCCGAGTCTTTAAAAGTCAAAATTGAATACACCTTAGTTTTTTGGTCTGGAATAACTTGATTATCTTTCGTAAGGTTTAACTGCACCCCCGTCAACTATTGCTGCGTTCGATGTTACACACATAAGAATGAGATCACTTTTCCTTATATGTTATGTTGCTCATCCATCTCCTCAGAGAAGTTCTCCTTTTACCGATACTTAGAGGAGGTCCTACATTTTTTAGTAGTGTCTTTAGAGTTTGTGGCATGTTTCTCTTTCTTTTAATGTTCTTTATCTTACATTTCTTCAGTGCATGTTTGACAAATTTTACAATTGCTTCTAAGTTGTCAAACTCTGTTTTTATCCATAGCCTCCATAGGATCCTCAGCTTTAACCTATTTTTTAAGTACACGACCCTTAGGACCCATTGCTTGTAATGAGCACTTAAAAGCTTAGTCGAAGATGCACTTGCTATCTGATGTTCTGTCTTATGGTTAAAACCCCGTAACCTAGTTCATTATCTTCAAGATTGACTTTTTTCTGCAATATGTGGTTTGGTATGTTAGCATTAATGTGACGAAAATGTATCTTAGCCTCACTGAATATCTTTCGTATTTAATGGTAAAAAATCTGTTTCTAGATCTATCATTTGAACTAAGACTTAAATCTGTTTGACATGAATACCTTGATGTAAGAGTCTAGCAATAGTCATGTCTAGAAGTCAGTGCTGTCTTCTTTCTATCTTCTGGAACGGGACATTTGTTCTGTGATTTATGGGAGGAAAATGTTCTAGTTGTTATGATACAGATTGGAGAGAGTGATTTTGAACCTTCCCCAAATTTGAATCTTTTTCGCGATTTGACGTTCTGCTGAAGGACTGTTAATGTCATATCATGTGTAATATCCATGTTTTAGTTTATGAATATCCTTTTAAAACGTCATCTCTTGCTGTATCAACTCCAGTTTTTGCTAATGAAATCTGTGCTCTTTAAGTACGATGATTTGATTGTAACATTTTAGCCAATGACCTTGACCTGATTCATTTTTGTCTATCATACAGTATCTCAAAAGGCAATATTTACAGTCATCTGCAACCAAGACTTGATGTTGTACTGTTCGAGATCATCTTTCCACTCATGTGCTTCAATGACAATGATCAAAAGCTCTGGGATGAAGACCCACATGAGTATGTGAGGAAGGGATATGGTGTGTCTTGGCTTCTGGTTTTTGATATGAACCTAGTGTTATTTTTGGGTCTTGTAATCCCAAATTGGGTTGAATATTTCTTATACTTACTGCAGATATAATTGAGGACTTGTATAGTCCTAGAACTGCTGCAATGGATTTTGTGAGTGAGTTGGTTAGAAGGCGTGGGAAAGAGAATCTCCAGAAGTTCATATTATTCATTGTGGAGATTTTTAAGAGGTACATTTTACCCAGTGAATCCTATACTTCAGTTTTAGATCTCTGAATGATGATCAACCTCATTTTCTCTACGTACAGATATGATGAGACACCGGTGGAATATAGGCCCTATAGGCAAAAGGATGGCGCCCTTCTAGCCATTGGAGCATTGTGTGATAAATTAAAGCAGACTGATCCTTACAAGTCAGAGCTTGAGCGTATGCTTGTGCAGCATGTGTTCCCTGAATTCAGCAGTCCCGTGGGGCATCTTAGAGCCAAGGTTTGTTGCTTCATATTGCTTTACTATCTCCTTTGATTACCTATTGGTGTGCAATTTTACTTGCCAAACCTTTCTGCTATCATTTATTGGTGAAGCATTTTATCTGACATATATCATTTTCCTTATGTATAAAAGCTTAGATTCGTGCTAGATATATCTCATTTGGCTGTGCATTTCCTGATTGTACTCTCATATGATGACTTTTGCATGAGTATTGACGGAAGTTTCGTAACTATTCTTTGCTCAGCTAATTTCCTTGTTTTATGCTGCTTTCTTAAACATGGACGCTGTGATTTGGGGAGCTTCATAAATATAGCAATTGTGCAATAATTCTTCGAAATGGGCTAGATACTCACACGGTGAACGTACCGTGTCTACAGTGCACAAATAATTGATTTATTACTTAAGATTCATTTCATTTAATCCCATCTAGTGATAGAGCGTTGACTAAGACTATTACGTAAAAAGAATTTTCAATAAATCTTAGCAGAAGCATTTCTTCCTGTGACTGCCTTTCCTACCAACAAGCTAACTCAACAAAATCCAGGTTCTTTCTAGACTAGACCTTCGGACTGAGTGATACATTACCATAACAAATTCGATGGGAATCACTCAAATTGTTAAAGACAAAGAATTTTTCAAACTTATCAGTCTAATCCCGAAATGACTCTAGACCAGTCCAACCATCAAAAGTCCCACGGTTACTAGGTAACTAACCTAGAAGGATAATGAATGCTGTCAACATAGTTCCTAGGCCAAGGATAATTGTTCTGATAATGGGAAGGCACACTATCGTGAGAAGGCTAAGGATAATTGTACTGATAATAGGAAGGCTAAGGATTATTGTACTGATGATGGGAAGGCACACAATGTCGTCACCCTCCTTTGCTTAGAAATTGTAGCAAATCTCGTCGGAGTCAAGTTTTTGCAATCAGGAAAAAATGATGGGAATTTCTTACCTAAATTTGATAGATTCTCCAGTATTTGATTAGGTGTTTCTTACCTAAATTAGACTAGTTTAGACCTTATACAAAGAGGCTTATGATTTGTAATAAGGCCCAACTTTGATGCGAAATAAATTGATTTCTATCCTTCTAAAATTTCTCTTTTCTCTTCGTTCTCTTCTATTTCTCATCTCTTCTTCTTTTCTCTTCTCAATCTTATTCTTGTCTGATTGTGTACATCATAAAAAAGCCTCGAGAAGCTTTGAGGCGTAAGCCTCAATAAAGAACAATAAATAAATTCCAAAGAAAAAAAAAATACAAAAATGTGCTCATAATAAACGATAGACCATCTAGAAAATCCATAATAAAATTGTCGGGGAAATGAATAGAAGAATAAAAAATAATATTAGTGGATTAGAAACAAAGATTGTTTGGTTGTTTGTTTGGCTATTTGTGTATGAGGTTTGATGAAAGGTGGTTGACTTATGCATGTTGGTTTTGATGGCTGCCTGATACCATATTGATGGAGGAAGCTCGCAAACGAAGATTCACAATCAACAATTTATCAGACTTGATGAGAAAGTATGAGAAGATAGAAGAAAAGGGAGAAAATAGAAAGAAATCAGAGGATGATATGGGTTTATTTAATAATCAACTCTAACTATTACAGAGCACAAATCCTCTTTATATAAAGTTTAAACAAACCAAATTTAAGTCAGTACACTATAATAATGAAATAAGCTAATCTGAATCGAACTCTCTTTATTAATAATCTTCTTGGAATATTTACTAGTTTATTAAGAAAGATCGCATCCTTTGGCATTGGAGTTGCACTGAGTCGAGTAGATTAGGAATAAAGTTATTTTTATTTGGAGTAGCTTATTTCAGTTTATGATAGTTTTTAGTTATTTAAATTAGGTTTGTTTAAACACTAGATTTATGCGTTAGTATAGATATATTTACGTCCATCTAATTTCTCTCCGTTCTCTCCCATTGCTTCTCTCTTTCTTTCTTCTCAAATCCCAAAATTGCTCTCATTTTTATACACACACACACGCACACACATACATACTAATTAACTTCCATCTTTAACAGACATGGATAAATGGAGTAGCATATATTAAGTTGTCAAATTAATGATGACATAACAAAATTCTAATGTATTTCTACAATTATAAAAGTTCTACAGGTCTTCAATATCACTATTTATGGGATCTTTTCAATTGAACTGTCAGCACATTTGATTAATTTATCCTAGTTACTATCAGTTTTATTAGTACCGACAGAGTACTGTAGTTGTCTAATTTGCTATTTTTAATAGTAAGTGGATTATTTTTTGCAATTAATTAGCAGTTCTATCAAGCCATTAGACTTGATTTTAGGTAATTGTGATTCATAATTTTACCCTAGAAGAGTCCATATTATATTCTGTTATCCTTATTGTTTAAATCGGTGAAAGTCTGAATTGTTCTCTTTGATTTACCAAATTTCTTCCCGGTCTTTTTCCTCATCTTTTCCATCCCTTTCCTACATGCCACAAAAAGGAAAAAGCAACAAAAAAATATGGAGAGAAGGAAAAGCAAAATACAGAGACAACAAGACTGAAAATATAGAAATAAAAAAGTAAGGTTATGTGTTGTAGGTGCCTTGTTGCTCTGTCTGCCACTAAGGTAACTTCGCTTTGGAGGAGTTCATCACACTTCAGTTTTATGATGCTTGGCTGCTTGAGTCGCTTGCTCTAGTCTACCTTCCTTAATTCTTTCTTTTCTAGTTTTTATTGCTGATTTTGTGTTTAAATTAGCCCGGAAAACCTTTAAAACATTCGAGGCTATACAAAGCCAATCTAAAAGCTGAGGTTAATATTAAAAAACCTGGAAAAGACTAGGCACTCACGTGCACACCTCAGCTGCTATGCTTTTGAGGTGTATGCGTCAGGAAGGTGAGGAGTGAATATTAAAGTGCTTAATAAAGGCACCATGCGAGGCATGCCACAAGTAGTAAGCCTCTAGTGCCTTTTAAAAAAATGTACTTGCTAACAACCTCAAATGTATGCTCTTCTTTATGTGGCTGTTTTCCTTGGAACACCTTTTTATCTTTGAATTACCCTCTGGTGTATTGCTATTTTTCACGGAAATCGAAGTTAATTTTTGTAATTTTTAAAATTCTTTGCCATGGTATTATTGGGCCTCATTGGTCGTGACTTATTGAAGCAGCTTTTATGAATCTCTCTCATGTTCCATGTTTCTTGTGGATTTTTCACAGATATATTGGTGCCATTAGATAACTATATATCCAGAAGCACAGTTCACTTCCTCACATGCAAGGAACCAGACTACCAGCAAAGCCTTTGGAACATGATTTCATCTGTAAGTTAATTCCATATTTACCAAAGATTGACCTCTGAAAAGAAGATATATGATGGCTTTTAAATTATCATCTCTTGTTATTCTTATAGATCATGGGTGATAAAAATTTGGAGGATGGAGATATTGAACCGGCACCTAAGCTCATTCAAGTGGTATTCCAGAACTGTAGGGGGCAGGTTGATCACTGGGTTGAGCCTTATATTAGAATTACTGTGGAGCGTCTTCGTCGCACAGAGAAACCTTATCTGAAGTGTCTCTTGATGGAAGTGGTGAGGAATATTAATTATTTCTATTACTCGCATATTCTAGCCTGTCAAGGATCACACTCTAGTAATAATTTTGATACTGTTCTTTGTTCATTTCATTGAAAAAACTAAATATTTTAGCTCTCATTTCTTCATAAACATATTTGATTTCATTTTGGTCATCACCAACTTGAATTTAGGGTGTGCTTGATTGCAAGCATGGATCTTGCATGGAAAGAAAATAAGTTCTAGGCAATTTCAACCTAGAAAAATTGTACATTTTCATGAATTTGAGTTTTTGGGAAGTGTGAATTGCCTAGAAAATAAAGACTTGCTCCCTGTAAAGAAAATGTTTTCCTTGTTTTTGAGGGAAAAAATGATCATATGACCAACTTTTAAAAAATATTTTTCATGGAAAAAATGCCACTCATAACACCCCAAAAGTAGCACTTAGGCGATGTCATTTGCATGAAAAATTAACCCAATCTAACACCCCCTTAATGCTGCAAGGAACCACAGGTAGCATGCCAATATACTTTGACTCGTCATTCTTTTACCATTTATTACCAGTTTTTCTCTTATGAGCGGTGGGTGGTAGAGGAATATAGAAGAAAGTATAATTCTAATATGATCACATCTTTAGAATTGTTCGACTCTTCTGCTTATACCTTTAGTGATAGCTTTTTCTCTTCTTTCATTCTTGTTTCTTTTTGTGTATGTGCTGCTGTACTATCAGTGGACTTGTTTATTTTCACATTCACATTCTGATTAAGGTGACTCTTATATGTAATATTATCGACATGGATCATGATTGGAGAGACTTGGTGGAAGGCAACCTATCATCTGGGGTACGGTTGACGACTTTGTGGTTCACACATCTGCAGCAATAAAGAACTTTTTTGTCTCTAGCGCTTTGTTTATATATCTGGCTCTCAATAGTGCAGCATATGTGATTTTTAAAATATGGGGTATTCTATTTTTTAATTCCAGTGGTTTTTTTTTTTAAATAATCTTTATGCAGCGCCACATTGCAGCATCAATTAGGGTTATCATAATTTTGTTTAATGCCTACACTGAATACTGTGTGGTTATTTTCCCACTGGCGGAAATAATAGATCATTGAGAAGTTCACTAGGTTCATGCGGGGAAATAAGAATGTAGCCGCAATCATGGATGGCTACTTGTTTGCTTTCTTTTTGGTTCTTTTGCTTGTTGGGTTCACTAATAGAGAGAGAGTGCTTGTGGTCAACCATTTGAAAAATGAGGCCTGACCATTTGATGATCAATGGCTTTCTTCAGGTTGCTGATGCTCTGTACTATAATGCATCCTTGACTCTCAATGTACTGCAAAAGCTTAATATTGCAACAGAAGTGTTTAATCTTTGGTTCCAAATGTTGGAACAAACTAAAAAAAGTGGAGCGCGGGCTAATTTTAAAAGGTATGCACTTGTTTAGATATCTTGCTATTTTCCCTTCGCCTCCTTCCCGGGAAGCTTGCTTAAGGATTTATGTCATGTCCTGTCAATGTTGCAGAGAACATGATAAAAAGATATGCTGCTTGGGCTTAACGTCGTTGATCCCTCTCCCTGCTGATCAGTTGCCAGGAGAGGCGCTGGAGCGTGTTTTCAAGTCTGCTCTCGACTTGCTTGTTGCCTATAAGGATCAAGTAGCAGGTTGTTACATTTATTCACCTCAGTCTCTTGCTTTGCTCTCTATTATTTTACTAAAAGGAATTATACACATTAAACAGTTGCTAATTCTTGCATCTTATGTTCTATTATGTGCTTATGTATTTGTTCTTGTGTACGCAGAGGCTGCAAAGGAGGAGGCTGAAGATGATGATGATATGGATAATTTTCAAAGCGATGATGAGGAAGAGGAAGGTGATGAATTTGACAAAGAAATGGGGGTTGATGAGGAGGATGGAGATGAAGCTGACAGCCGTAGTCTTCAAAAATTGGCTGCCCGGGTGGGTTTACTTGAATGAAGTTATTCTATGATGTTCTTATGCTAATGAAGGGATGCAAACTATATCTGGTTTTTCAGTTATTCCTGAAATAAGCAATATACCAAAAAAACTGGAGAGGTAATATTTGTTTTTAATGACATGAAGTCTATCGAAAATTAATCAAAATAAAACACCAGTTCATATACATAAAATGAATCTTTTGTTATGTCCATCCTTACCTTAAGATTATTAATAATGCCAAGGTTTTTTTAGAGCTTGAAACCATCCCCCACCTGCTGGCTGCTTTAAATTTGAAAGATTATATTAGTTGGTAGTACAATCAACATAGAGAAGGCCCGCTTAAAGTAAATGCGACTTTGATAATGCTAGATTTTCTGTTTGATTATTGTGCATCTGTTATAATAATATTACTTGGTTATGCATTTCTGTTGTCTGCTTTTGCGATTCTTTGTCAGATTGATCCTTGCGTGTAAGAAATTTTTCACCATGGCTAACTGTTGGAGTTACAGGCTAAGTCTTTCCGCTCGACTGAGTCAGATGATGATGATGAAACAGATGACGATTTTAGTGATGATGAAGAATTGCAATCACCCATTGATGATGTTGACCCTTTTGTCTTCTTTGTGGATATTATTAAAGGTAAATGCTGGCACCTTTTGCTACTTATTTTCTTACCATCAAGCTATTTTCCGACTATTTCTCGCTCTTTTTTCTTTGTTTAGCATTGCAAGCATCCGATCCTTTGAGGTTTCAGAACCTCACACAGACACTCGATTTCCGTTATCAAGCTCTTGCAAATGGCGTTGCTCAGCATGCTGAGCAGAGAAGAGTTGAGATTGAAAAACAAAAAATGGAGAAGGCTGCATCAGCTGCTTCATGATTTCCGGTAAATCAACCTTGGCTTTGCTGTCTGTCCGCATTCTTTGGTTTATTCGAATAATGGCACAGAACACCAAGAGTTGTTCCAAGTTGTGGAGTTTCGGTTGCTTCATTGGTTGCAGTTCCCAAAGACAGGCTCATGCAATGCAGGGAACTCAATTTGCTGCCCATTTTTTCCTGAGTGTGGGTTCGATGAGTTATTGTCTCGTGAACATTTCTTCTACATCAGAAGATGCCTGTTCTCGATGCGGGTCTTTTTGCAGTTATACCATTTTATACGTCAGATGAGAGTCCCATGTCAAGTAAACAAGTAAATTTCTTAGAAACCCTTCTATATGGTTTAGATGGAGAGGTAAATTCATACAAGATTCATTGGCTATGTTGTAGGTATTTGACGACTGTTGAAAATTTTTTGTTGGGGATGCATCCTAAATTGTCTGCGGACATGTTTGTGGTCTATAGAGTTGGTTTGGTTTAGGGAGATTTTGCAAATTGAAAACTGCTCTTATTCTTTGACTTGTTCATTATTTTTGGGGGAGAATTGTGCTCCTTACGTCTCTGTTTACCTCATGCGGCTTGTTCGTGCCACCTTTAAGTCTTCCACTTAGGGATGACAATTTGGTTCACTGATTTGGGTTGCTTGTGGCTTGGCCCGGAAAAGCCCGAGTCAACTTGGCTCGAGGATTGGGCCGAGCCTGAGCCCGCGCCCGAGCCACGGGTCGGCTCGTTAAAAAAAAGGGTTTAAAGGTAGTGTGTGCTGCTTATTTAAATTTAATTAGGCAATAGTTATAATACAAAAAAATCGAGCCGACTTGGTAAAGCTTGAGCCTCGAATATTTGGTTGAGCTTTTGCTCGGCTCAGCTTAGGTCAAAAAAAGCTTGTCTTAATTTTATTACAGCCTAGCTCGAGCCTTGAGTTTCAACTTGACTCGACTTATTGACATTCCTATATCTACTACTCTATATGGTTTGAGAACTACTGAGGGTCGTAGACTAGTACAAGCCCTCCAGGCTTCAGACAACCTAAGTTTAAATAGGGGAGGCTCAAACCCTTTATTTCTTTATCCTATTTTTGCCGTGAACTGTCAGTGGGGTTGAGCGTGAGTTGTGTACTGGGGTTGGGTTGGTTTTTTATTCAATTCAAATTCAACCTAACATGATTGGTTTGCTCTAAAATCAACTAGACAACTTACAAAAATACTCCTAAAAGTAAGGATGTTTTAAAAGTTAAAAAATATTGTTTTAAATTAATTGTCACTTTTTTAAGTTAAGTCACATTTTCACTTTAATTAAAATTAAAAGTAATTTTTGTCACTCAAAAAAATGATGTAAATTTCAAGAAAGTGGCGAAAAATTAAAAAGTAAAAAATACTGTAAAATTCAAATATTGTGTAAAATTAAGTGACACAATGTCACTTTTTCTATATCCCTCCTTATCTTAAAAGAGAGAGTCAGGTTTACTATTCAGTTTTTACACGAAACTGGTTTGAAAACAGTTTGGCCCCAGTAAATTGTTTTATTCAATGACGCTGTAGCATTATTTTCACATGCCGTTTCACTATGATGTCATCTCCACTACAATATTTCTCCATTTTCACACACTTCACTTGTTTAAAGTCAATACCATATATTATATAATAAAGAAACGAAATTAAATATAAAGATTACTAAAAAAAATTGCAGATAAAAATAAAAAAAATTATTATAAAGTTCTTAAATTAAATTAAAAATTTAAAGAAAAAATAAATATTATTTAATTCATATTTAACGAATGTCTTTATATAATAATGAATGTATAAAGATTATTTTATTTAAACAAATAAAATAAAAGAAAGTTATAAAAATTAAATAAATAATATATAAATATTATTTAATGAATTAAAATTTAAAAAATTAAATTTAAAAAAAAAACAAAAAATCTCTCCGTGGATGGATAGAATTTCTCCATCCATGGAGAGATCTCTACTTTCAAAAGGAGAGTTTTCTCTTTTTGACTTTTTCTCTCCTTTTACACAGTGATTCCACTCCGTGCACGGAGTGGTGATAATTTTTTTTTAAAATTTTATTTATAGTATTTTTTATTCATAAATATTTAATTTTAAAAAAAAAATCCCTCCATATCTTAAAAGAGAGAATATGAGGTTTACTGTTCATTTTATTAGTGATAATATTTTTTTACATAAAAATTATTCTTTATTTCTAAAATATAAAAAGTTACTTATAATTAAAAAGATCATTTCAAGTTATTTAAAAGTAAAATGAACCTATAATTGCAAAAGTTACTTATAAGTAAAAAGTATTAACTTCAAATTTTATAAGTACAAATATTTAGATATATTTATTTTTTTGAATTAAATATTAATAAAAAGATTGCACTATCTAGAATGTAAAAAATTACTTATAGGTAAAAAAATCATTTCAAGTTATTTAAAAGTAAAATGAACCTATAATTGCAAAAGTTACTTATAAGTAAAAAGTATTAACTTCAAATTTTATAAGTACAAATATTTAGATATATTTATTTTTTTGAATTAAATATTAATAAAAAGATTGCACTATCTAGAATGTAAAAAATTACTTATAGGTAAAAAAATCATTTCAAGTTATTTAAAAGTAATAACAAAAACTTATAATTGTAAAAGTTACTTATAGATAAAAAAATATTAACTTCAACATTTTTAAGTAAATGTTTAGATATATTTAATTTTTAAAATTAAGTATTAATAAAAAATTACTATAATTAAAAAAAAAAAAATTCACTCCATGCATATGTTTGTTTTTTTTTTTTAATTATAGTAATTTTTTTATTAATATTTAATTTTAAAAAATTAAATATATCTACATCTTTATTTAAAAATGTTGAAGTTAATATTTTTTTTTTATCAATAAGCAGCTTTTACAATATAAGTTTTCTTATTACTTTTAAATAACTTGAAGTGCTTTTTTTACTTATAAGTAATTTTTACATTCTAGATGGTGTAATATTTTTTATTAATATTTAATTTAAAAAACTAAATATATCTAAATATTTATACTTAAAAAATTTAAGTTAATATTTTTTACTTATAAGTAACTTTTACAATTATAAGTTTATTTTGTTTTTAAATAAAATGAAGTGATCTTTTTAGTTATAAGTAATTTTTTTACATTTTAGAAATAAAGAATAACTTTTATGTAAAAAATTATTTTAAGAAATAATATTACTAATAAAATTATAGGATATGGTCGATAGTTGATGTCGTGAGAAAATGGTAAAAGAGTATCGTGTGTTAGATTCAAAGCATGTAAACTGCAGGTAAAATAGAAAATGATATCGTTTCTACTCCACCAATTAAAAAAAAAAACTACAGTGTGAAAAAATATTATTTCAAAAAATATTACTAATACTAGAATTATAGGATATGGTTAATAGTTGATAACGTGAGAAAATAGAGAAAGAGTATCGTGTGTCATATTCAAAGCATGTAAGCTGCAGATAAAATAGAAAACGACATCGTTTCTACTCCACCAATAAAAAAAAAAAACTACAGTGTGACAAAATATTATTTTAAAAAAATATTACTACTAATAAAATTATGGATATGGTCCTTTAAATTTGACACACAATACCGTTTCTCCATTTTCTCATCCTATTAACTATCAATCATATCCTATAATTTTATTAGTAGTAATATTTTTTTTAAATAATATTTTGTCACACTGTAACTTTTTTTTAATTGGTGGAGCAGAAACGACGTCATTTTCTAATTAACCTGCAGCTTACATGCTTTGAATTTGACACACAGTACTTTTTCTTCGTTTTCTCATGCTATCAACTATCAACCATATCCTTTAATTTTATTTGTAATAATATTTTTTAAATAATTTTTTACATAATAGTTATTCTTTATTTCTAAAATGTTAAAAGTTACTTATAACTAAAAAGATCACTTCAAGTTATTTAAAAGTAAAACGAACTTATTATTGTAAAACTACTTAGAGGGTGTTTGGGATACATTTTTATGTAAAAATGTATTTTTGAATAGTAAATTGATGAAAAATGTGTGGTTGAAAAATAAAGAAAAGTTTTTTATTTACGAGTAATATTATTTTAATAAAGAATGTGATTGAAATAAAGAGAGAGAAAAATGCATTTTGAAAAAATGAGTACCAAACGGAGGTTTATAAGGCCTACTCGCCTGGAGGTAAATGAATTGGGAAAGCCAACAGAAAGATTCGATATTCGATTCTGACTTTCGTAGAGCCGGTGCTGCTGTTGCCTGCGCGTAGGGTTATTTAAAATAAAAAAAACTTATAATTGTAAAAGCTACTTATAGGTTAAAAAAATATTAATCCCTCATTCTCTTATAATTGCAAAAGCTACTTATAAGTAAAAAAATATTAACTTAAATTTTTTTAAATATAAATATTTAGATATTTTTATTTTTTAAATTAAATATTAATAAAAATATTACACTATCTAGAATGTAAAAAATTACTTATAAATTTGTAAACACTCCATGCAAATATGTTTTTTTTTTAATTTCATTTATAGTAATTCTTTTATTAATTTTTAATTTAAAAAAAATAAATATATCTAAAAATTTTCTTAAAAATGTTGAAATTAATATATATATATTATCTATAAGTAGTTTTTTACAATTATAAGTTTTTTATTCCATTTAAATAACTTGAAACAATTTTTTTCCTTATAAGTAACTTTTTACATTCTAGATAATGTAATCTTTTTATTAATATTTAATTTAAAAAATTAAATATATCTAACTATTTGCTTAAAAATGTTGAAATTAATATATATATATTATCTATAAGTAGTTTTTTACAATTATAAGTTTTTTATTCCAATTAAATGACTTGAAACGATTTTTTTCCTTATAAGTAACTTTTTACATTCTAGATAATGTAATCTTTTTATTAATATTTAATTTAAAAAACTAAATATATCTAAATATTTATACTTAAAATTTTTTTAAGTTAATGTTTTTTTTACTTATAAGTAGTTTTTGTAATTATAAGAGAATGAGAGATTATTATTTTTTTACTTATAAGTAGCTTTTACAATTAGAAGTTTTTTCTTATTTTTAAATAACTTGAAGTGCTTTTTTTACTTATAAGTAACTTTTTATATTCTAAATAGTGTAATCTTTTTATTAATAATTTAATTAAAAAATGAAAAAAAAAAATAATAAACTCTTAAAAGATGGGGTTGGGATCACTATTCATTATTGCCACTTGAGTTTCACACATGCTTGGTTTGTACTATTCATTAATTGGCTCATAAAATGTCCTTTAAAAGTGGGTTTTGCTCTCTCTCGCTTTCATTTCTTCATGAGAAAGAAAACTCTACTACACTGATTCTCAAAATCTAAGATATTGAAACTCAGAAAGTCGAAGAAGAGATCTTGAGAAGGAAATTGCAATATGAATTGTATGAAGTGAGAAGACAATTTGCAGTAGTTGATTAACTGAAAGTATTGGATATGCGATTTGGACAAAAAAGATTTGATTGTTATTGATTGTTTTTTAATTTTCTATGTTATTTGCATTCAGCGTGTTTCATTATTGTTTAAAAATGCATGATATTTTTATATCTTATCTATGCTGAACTAAGAACTTTAGAAATTATGCTGGATGATACTCTAACTTTCTTTTATTTTGAGCCAGGGCCTCGAGAGTGTCCATATCAGTGTCTTATAAAGCTTGACTAGAAGAATGCAACATTTTACCTCTATCTTGCTCTTTCACCATGTAAGTAAACCTTTGTTGAAAGTTTCTAAGATAACTTATAACTTGAAATTTGCTTGTGTACCAAATGATATTAATTTAATCATTTTCTATTTGGTGAATTGACTAAGTAAAACCTTCTAGTTTAACATCTATAGGTAGGAGGATGGTTAAAAATCTATTAGGTTATTAGTCTTAATATCTCATGAGTAAAGACATCATGTTTTGATGTTTGCTAAGTATCTTGACTTGGTCTATTAATTTTTCTTTATTTCTTGCACCGTAATGACTATTTTGAATGCCATATAGCAAACCTTAGTGATTATTTCAGATGCCATGACAAATATTTATGCTACTATTTCAAATATTGTAGCCCAACTAACATTTTAAAAGAGTTCTTCATATATATATATATATATATATATATATATATATATATATATATATTTAAACAAATCTCATTAACTTTTGTCATGTAACTTCGATGTTCGGCTAACATTTGAAACTGGAGCCTTTGTGTCCAGAGAAAAAGTCAACATGGAAGAAAGAATTGAATTCCATAATATAAATGCTCGTGGTTTGATATTTATACATTTGATTTCTAAATAGCTAGACAATTACATACTATCAATTCTAATTATAATGTAATTTATATATGTTAATAGAGTATGATAAATGATTCTTTTTTCATCTATCAATACAAATGATGAAGGCGACACACTATAATCCAACACATTTAACATACTTGCATTATGTTCAAAATAATCCAATTCGTGCATTGCACGGGCAAAGACCAGTATATATATAAAAGTGATAATAAAAAAGGCGACACAATGTTAGTTTTATTTTTTTTAAATTTTTTATTCAAAAGGTGATAGAAATTCCAAAGAAATGGAAAAAAAAAGGGAAAAAAGAAACAAAAAAAAATAGTGATTGAAATTCAAAAAAGTGACGCTTTTTTCTTGTACATATTGATTTTCTTCTATATGTTGTCTATTATCATTACACTTTACTTGTATTAACTAAACATAAAACATATTTACATTTTTTGGAGAAAAACACCCTATAAGTTGAAATTGACATAAATTAAAAAAGTGACAACTAAAAAAAGTGACAAATTCAAAAAAGCGATGAACACTTAAAAAACAATGAAAAACATCATTCAAACCCTAAAAATAGGTCCAGAGATGGTATATTTTCTTCTACACGTTATCTATTTGTGATTATGTTTCACTTTTATGACTTAATCACACACTATAAGTTGAAAGTGCCACCAAAAATTTAAAAAAGTGAAAAATTCACAAAAGTGACAAAAATTCAAAAAAGTGACAAATTACATTGGTGTCAATAATTCAATACCACCATACTATCTACACGTGAAATACATGAACCATCACATATTATAATGCATGAAATCATGCATTATAGTAATGTTCACCAAACGGTTGGCTTTCTTTCGATTTTCCACACCCTATAAGTTGATTTTCTATTTACTATTTCTCTAAATATAGTAATGTTCAACAAACGTCAATTTTCACACATACATACACTAGCAGGTGGACTGCTAAGTACATCTAATCAAATCAAAATGACTTTTATAAAGAGAAACTATCAACTTCAGAAATAGGTATGATCCAGGTATAACTGAACAACTTCCAAATCACAATTAAAGAATCCTCACAACAATGGAAAAGAGATGCCAAATATTTTTATCTTAGTTTCTACTTGGAATGCTTGTTGTAATCCATTCTGCTCTCAATTATGACTTTCTTCTTGATCTCAAAAGTAACTTTGACTAGATCAGAAACAGTGGCTAGATGTACACAGCAGATTCTCATCTTCTCTCCAGTTACCACATCTAATTTCACAAGGTTTAGATTGTTATCATCTTCCTTGTTAAATGTCGAGGAGGACAGCACGCGGTCCAATCTTTTCGTCCCCAATTATATTTTTCGAAATGTTCTGCCAGCCGCAGCACCTCCTTCAGACCTGAAACCCCACAGAGGAAATTTACCACATGAATGCCCAAATGGCCTTTCCTCGAAAACGACATTGACTTGCTGCTACTAAATCCTAGATCTGAAATACCATTGACTTGTCCAAACATCTACTCCTGGGGCATTCTGCTTGGCACCAAACAAAGCTCAGGCGCTCTATACCATCTAGAAAAGACTTGAATAAAGAACAAACAACTATACTCAAGTTGTGCAATAAATAAAAAAAGTAATTGAAGAAAGAGATTCGGACAGATTAGAGTTATTGCATTATAACATACTTTGCAATGTTTTAGAGAATCAACGTCATATCAACAAGAACCAATTAGCAATAAGTTGTTAAAAAGTATTATAGTTCTACAATAATTTATAATTCTACATAGAAAACACGATGCAGAGGAAACCATAAATGTATTCTTTCCTAAACAAGATGGAGTGTTCCTGTTAGAGTTGCATACATACAAATACATTTATATTGATGACAAAACCTCCCACAGAACCATGAGTCAACTGTTTTTCCAAGTACAACCATAAACCACGAATGCCAACATTATTACTTTGATTCAAAAAATCCAAATACCAAACAAAATTGGATGAATACACTGATCACCAATTTACTTAGTACTAACTTCATCAATTGAAAAGGCAATTAAAATCATTATTTGAAAGAAATTGTAATTAACTCAAAGTCATCAGTTCATTTTTATCAACAAGCTGATAAAAAATGACTTTATGCTGTCAAATAGGATGCTTAGTTATGCCTTATGGGACAGAGCAAAATAATACTAGCTGAAAGCTTAGTAAACTTGATAAAACAAGAATTTCTTCTAAGGATGTACTGAACTGCATCCATCAATCATAATTAGTACATAAGACGACATACCTGGGGAGTGAGCTTTCTATCTGGGCTCCCAAATATACGAGCTAAATCAAAATAAGCAGTTTAAGCTGTTTGTCTGCTCCAATCAACGAGTTGTTGGCTTTCATATCCCAGTTCACAAGTCGAAAATACTCAACAAAAATCAAAGCAAGTTAGAAACTTGAAAAGAAATGCCTTTAAATAAATGTAATGACGCAAAACCCAGAATCACCAACAACCTTCAGGTGACCATCCAAATCACTGTAATGATCAAGACTTGACTGCTTTGGGCGGTGAGATTGCGCTCATGCCAAGCCCACGCTGCGGGGGCCATTGCTAAGGATAGTGCGACAGTATTCGCCTAGAAGGGTCAAACACTCCATGAGTGCTGGCGGTTTACCGAGTGGGCTCTCGATTGGGGAGCTGGTGGCAAACCCGATTTGAATTGTGAATGGTGGTGGCGATGCTACTCTCATTCACGAAGTGTGGGTTTGGAGATGAATAAAGCTTACCGTACATTCCACGGTTTACACAAAGTTTGACATGCTTTGGAAATTAAAAATATTGTTGACGGGAAAGTGTGTCATGTTACGACATGTTACACAATATCAAACTTGATGTGAAATAAAATGTACAAGTAGCATGATTGTTCGGAGATTCAAGAATGTTATAACGTATTAATTACATTTTTCAATGATTTAACTAATTATTAGTGTATTGATCAAACATGTCAATTTTTTAAAGGAAAATTTCATAACTAAGAGATTAAATATCAACCATTTCAAAACTAAGAAAGTGCACAATCAACAAAAAGGGTAACATTTCATCAGTCGTCACTGGACTTTCAATGAAATTTCAATTAAAGGGACAATAAGTGCTAGTGGTGAATTTGAAATTAAGTAGAGTTTAACGACTTGAATGAAACTAAATTAAGGTCAGTGACTTAATGAAAATTAAATTTAAGTTGTTCATGATTTCTGAGAATGAAATAGAGATGTCACATGGTTTATTGTTGATTAACAAATAATGAATTTGCTCTTTTGGTTTTTCATGTATAATATATTTATATGAGGAAATATTCAATTCAATAGAATTAAATAATTGTTACTGGAAAATAAGATGAACACGGTTCAATTTGAATTGTTTTTGTTTTAATTTCACGTCAAACTATTTTAAACTCCAAACTAAATCACTCATTTCACCATTTAAATCAAACTATTTTTTTTTTTTTTTGTTCGCATAAAAATAACAATTTTCAAACATATTAAAACACAAATAAGGGTTAAGGTTAAGGTTCGAAACATTTTTTTTTTTTTTTTTTTTTTTTGCTCGCATATAATTAACACTTTTCAAACATATTAAAACACAAATTAGGGTTAAGGTTAAGGTTCGAAACAAAAATAAACCAATAAGGGCTAAAAGCTTTGTTGGTAATCAATTTTTCAAGACGTGTAACCTCAGTTATCATACTTTATTTTAGCATATAGAATATATGAACTTACAAAGTTGTTTCAATTAATCCTTGTTCAGTGGCCATTATTTAAAAAAAAAAAAAAAAGGTTTTGAATAGTGATTTTTTAAGAGAATGTGTGGTTAAAAAGTTGGAAAATTTTTTTGGATTACGTGTATAATATTTTATTTTGTAAATATATGATTAAAAATGAATATATATGAAATAGAGTTTGAAAATAATGATTCTAAAAAAGTGCCTAAATCAATTATTTCATATTTGTTTTAGTCCATTTGGTTGACTTCCATGTTTGATGACGAGACAGGTAGCAAATAAAGCTGACAACAAAACAAAAAGTTAACAATGTAGCTCCCCATTAATTTTCATTACGTTACATTTCATTTTTCTCTCATATTTTCAACGTCACAATCTTTCATAAAATAATATTACACGTAAATCGAAATTTTTTCTTCTTTTTCAACTTCTCATTTTTCAAAAAATATTATTCCACACATTAATTTTTCCCCGTAATGGAGGCCAACAGGGGCGTAATACCTAAAACATGTCAACCTACGGTCCTACGCATTGAGTGGATAAAACTACTGTTCTAAACTGAGCGCATATATTTCTCATGTACTCGCATATGCTAGATGTTTATTTGAAAAGTCTTGTATATGTGATATACGCGTTATAATATTATAAACCCATTTAATTGATCACATATGCACACTCAACGCCAAAATGCACGCATTTGTGTTAAAAATTATGTTAAAATTAGCCTAGCAAAACTTGGGCAATTTTATAATTTAAAAACAACGACTATCCACGCCGAGCTAGAGGCTCTTTCTTTCTTTAGTTTTACCAACAAGTGATGTTAGTAATGAAAAATCTTGAATTGTTGATGGTTGTGATTATAAGGAGTAGATTAATAATGATAACCTACCTCTTGAATTGTAATAAGGGAGATCGATGAAGACAATTTTAGTTCAAAAAACACAAAAGATGACTTGGATGAAAATGAGTTTGAACTAAAATCCAATAAAAAAGTTAAAAAATATTTAAGATTTTTTTAAGCCGACGTTTGTGTCTAATCTAATTGTAGGAAATAATTATCAAATACTTAAAGAATTAATGATATTGAACATAATGTAATGTTTAAGAACATGTATAAAGTTCAGGTAATAGCATTTATAATTTTCAGTGCTATTTTTTCAAAAAAATAAAAATAAAAAAATTGAAGAATATGTATAAAATTTAAAGAATGCATTATTTTATTTATTTAAAATATTTAAAATAAAATTGAAAATTGAAAAACACATTTACATTTATACTTTGCATATTCATAATGGACAACTATGCTAGTGCTTAGCATCAATGAAATTGAATAACATTACTCCATATAGATATCATTATTTTATAGCAATGGATTAGCATGATGACAGATTGATTTGTAACTCATTGGATTCAAAAAGTCTTGTTTGTCCCAGTATCCACCCAAGTCGACGAACATTATAAAAACATTACACTTTTGAATCCATTACATAATTATTTACCCAAGTGAGTCAAGATCCTATTGATCAAATCTTCCTTTTTCCCAGACACAGATAGGCCATTTGCTGTCAGGTAGTACTTAAGCTTTGGTACTGTCAATTCCTTCAACTGCAAAACACATGAAGAGGGATTATGGAGGAGGATATAAAAAATTACAAGGAATTAATTTTTGTTATATCAAAATTTTCAGTGTCCCCCCAAATAATATTGATATTATCATCCTAGATATTTTAAGACAAACTCGTATTGCTGTCACCTCTCCTTTGTCTGCAAGGTCAGACCAGTCAACTTTAGCAGACTCCGTAGTCGCCTTATCAGCAATTGCTTTACGTTTTTT